GTCGTCGTCGTCGTCGTCGTTGTGTCGTAGTCGTAGTCGTAGTCGTAGTCGTTGACGCCCCGAGAGCGCGTGTTTGTCCAACGCAGTGACACCAGCCGCGTTTGAGTTTCCTTGGCTGGCACCGAGAGAAAGAAAGAGAGGGAGAATCGACGAGAACACGGTCAATTTTTTTTGTCGGTCGACAACAACGTTGGTTGCCATTCGGCGATTTTCCCTCGTACGGTGCATCGGTCGGTTCGGTTCGCTGTGTGCGTGTGTGTGTGTGCGTGATACGAGACGGACGGCTGGCGCGTTGAGAGCGCGTGTCGAGGGAGCGATGAACAGCAGCAACGGCAGACCGAACGGGGAGAACAGGGGACGAAATGGCCACGTGCTTGTGTGGGAGCAGCCCGGCCTGGAGGAAGAGGACAGACCTAACGGGAAAAGTAAATGTACGTGGAGAATACGCGAGGCGCGACCAACTATCTACTGGTCTATCATCTCTCTGGTGTCCTTTGGCGAAATTTTCGTCTCGAGTCCCTCTCCCCTCTCCCTCTTTCACCCCCTCGCCTTCCGTGGCGCGAACGAGTCTCGCCGACTCGAGAAACGACCAGTTTGCAACTCGGTCCCATCCCGTGAATCCCGCGTCGAATCCACGTGCTCTACCGCTTCCCCCCCTCCCCGCTCCTCTCTCCGTCAGTCCTCGTCGCTTTCTCCTTTTCGCTGAAGTAAATACGTCAGTTTCAAAGTTTGCACGCCGCTCACGCCATTTCGACGATTCCATCGTCCATCACGTGTGTACATACGTAGCGTGATATATATATATATATATATACATGTATGTATGTATGTATGTTTTTTCAATGAACCCAAGAAAATGCAAGAGACCACAGACATGGTTCGTTTCGCTGCCGTTAGAAATTGTCGCGCGCGGGTTGACCTTTCAGGCGAACTTTGACGGTTCTCGTTCGTAATCGGCACAGGTAACGATCGCGTCGCGTCGAGGCGTCACGTGCGTTGCCCTGCCTCTTTTCAGAGGAAGACATTCTTCCTTCCTCTCATTGTCCCCTGTTACCTCACATCGCGCCGAGCGAATGTGCAACAGAGACGCGTGCGTGTGTGCGGACGCGAGCCAGAGTTATTTCCACGACCGCGACCACGTGCTCGGTGGATGTCCGAACGTTCTGTGT